GTCCAACTTGTCATTTATAAATTGCATAACCTGCATGATAGCGGTGGATGAGTCGCCCTGTGTCAAACATGGCTTAACAGTTACGCGCTTTCCCATGGTCTAGTGGCATGAGCTTCTGGCTACTGACGCAAGCTGCTAGGGATCACAAGTTCGGATCCTGAAGATGCCAAAAGATGAACACTATTGATAAGTTCCGATAGGACGGAACGGCCGCCTAGAGTACTTCTGAGCGCATACAGGGCTAATGAACTTGAGAGTAACTGCGATGAACTCTCAATTATTTACACCAAAAGTCCTCTACTTGTGAGCATAGGTTAATTGACACAAAACCCATTCGAACTATATCCGCCATCGAATAATCCATACGAAACTAAAATAAAGAGGTCATATATGGATAGCTTTGATAAATGAACAGTTTAGAATTGTCTGAGAACTAACCGCGATTAGACTGGAGATCGTGCACCACAGTTAAATCGTACTACAGCAAGTTTCACCAAAATCCTGTGGATCAACAGTTAGCTTTCCACCGAAAAATGGCCACACGCATACCAGCAAATGCGTAGTTCATCCTTGAAGTTAGAGACAGCTTTACTTACTGTTTTAAGTAGTGAGATGTTGAGGAAGCGTAGAAAGCGTTAGCAACAACATTAAATATCAATCAGTGTGTTTCGAAGGATTAGCATTTAAATAAAAGCAAGAAATCCCACCTTAATACTTTACCTTTAGCATGCCGCCTACAAAATACTTTGAACTGACACACCGGTTTCTTGAAAAAATCTTTCATCAGCAGTGCCGAGTAACGTGACACTTGTGGTGTTCGTATATTGCTTCAGATCGGTCAAGAGGCAGCACTTGCTCGAATATTAGAGGCCCTCGCGATCGATATCTACTGCTTATCGGAGACCCGCCTGCAAGACACAAGCCCTGTGCTCACCTTGCGATCACCTTCAGGTGACACTAGCAGCACCTTCTCATTGCGCCCATCTGGTAACGATGCAGCGTCGAGCACCGGCCAAGCCGGTGTTGGTATTGCTCTTAGTCCCTGGGCTTAAGCTGCCCTGGTTTCTTGGATCCCAATTCGTAGCCGGATGTGTGCGGTCCGATTGGCTGGCTCGTTCAAAGCTTCGAAGTCGCGTGGGACTAACAGGTGTCTATTCGTTATCGCTGCCTATGCACCGACAAACTGTAGCGATGACTCGGTAAAAGACGACTTCCATCGCCAACTGAACGAGCTCCTACGCCACAGAAGAAGCTCGGACACTGTAGTGCTGGCTGGGGATCTGAACGCTCAAGTTGGAAAATTATCCGCAGATGAGCTGCATCTGGGCGGCCAACACGGTGTAGGCTCCCGTAATGATAACGGTGAGCGGTTACTTCATCGATGTGAGGATGCTCGCTTATTTCTTGCGAGCACTAATTTCCGACACAGCACCCACCGGAGGGTGACTTGGCGCCCACCAGCCTCAAACCAGCTATGGACGCAAATCGATCACATTGCGATAAGTTACCGATGGAGAGGCTGCGTCCAGAACTGTCGGTCGAGTTGGAGCACAGGTGTGGACACCGACCATGTACTTGTATGTGCTGACCTGCGGATGCGCTTTGGCGGACGCCCACGACGACGTTGTGAGCGCATTGACACCAGCCAACTGGCGAAGCCAGCTGTTCTGAATGCCTATCAAAGTACGCCGTCATGCGAGTTGGATAAACGCTCACTGGATGCAATTGAAGCTCACTGGTCTCACATTTACCAGACCTTAATAGCAACAGGAAAATCCTCATGTGGTATGTCTAATCGACAACATGGACAATGGGTCTCTTCACAGTCTCTGGAACTTATAGATGCTCACCGTCATATTCCGGCCGGAAGCGAACGTAACAAAACACGCAAAGAGCTCCGGGCTAAACTCCGTGCTAGTCTGAAGAGAGACCGCGAATCCTGGTGGCCTAATCGTACAACAGAGATGGAAATGGCCGCTGACCTTGGTAACCATCCTAAGATATTCCGTCTGATACGGGAAGCGGGGAGCAGGAGACCTGGTGTTAGTGAAACTATACGAGAAAAGAGTGGACAACCTATCCACAACTTATCAAAACGCATAGAGCGTTAGGCTTAGCATTTTAAAAGGCAATTTAATCGGTCGGAATTGTTAGATTTCTCGCCGGCTGCTGATCGCCCCACTCCCTGGGCTGTCCCATTGGATCCGCACCTCACGCTCAGAAGTCAAACGTGAGATCGAACTGTTGAAGTTGAATAAAGCCGCGAGACCGGATAATCTTCCTCCAGCCCTCTTCAAATTCGGGGGAACTGCTCGCCTGGATGGTTTGCACGAGTTACTAGTGAAACTGCGGGAGCAGGAAACTGTCCCAACCGATTGGAGTCGCTCCGACATAGTCCCAATTTTCAAAGGAGGCTCACGATCGGAATGCGGCAGCCATAGAGGAATCAGTCTGATATCCATCGCCTCCAAATTGCTTGCCTCTGTCATCCCTCACAGACTGGCTGGCAATCATGATAAACAGATTCGTGAAGAGCGAGCCGGGTTCCGTCGAGGTCGTAGCTGCATTGACCACATCTTCAGGTTGCGTCAGTTGGTGGAGCACCGTCAAATATATTGGCGGCCCGCCGTTGTCCTGTTCCTCGATATCAAAGGTGCATTCGATTAGATGCATAGGTGTGCACTTTGGGACTGCCTACTCAGGGGAGGTGTGTCCGAGAACTATTTAAATATTATCCGAACATTATACGCGCGTAGCTCGGGCATAGTGACCGCTTACGGTCAGCTGTCGCTGCTCTTCAGTATCTCCAGCGGTATGAGACAAGGATGCCCACTGTCACCTTTCCTCTTCAACTTCCCTATTGACTAAGTCATGGAAATCACGTTCACAGGATACGACTTTGAAGGTGTGGATCTGCTCCCAGGAGAACGACTTCTTGACTTAGAGTATGCTGATGATATTGCCCTAATCTGTGGCAGCTTACAAATGTGCCAAGCGGCACTGGACAGATTAGCACTAGCTGTCCGTCACTTCGAACTTTGTTTCGCACCCTCGAAGAGCAAAGCGTTCCTTCAAGATTGGTCTGGACCGCCCCCTACGCTGACCCTTGGTGGGGATCAGCTAGAAGTCGTTCAAAAATTCAACTACCTGGGAAGTTGTATCAGCGCCCGTGGGATTGAAGATGAGATCACGAACCCTATAGCAAAAGCTCGACGCGCTTTTGCTAACCTTTGCCACTTATGGCGCCGGCGCGACAACACTCTTGCCCTGAAGGGTAGAGTGTACAATGCAGCAGTACGTTCGACCCTACTGTACGGTTGTGAAACCTGGCCGCTTAAAGTAGCGGACCTGAAGAGGCTAGTTAAGTTCGACCACCGGTGCCTTCGTAATTCAGCTCACATCTGGTGGGAACACCGCGTGAGCAACGAACGTGTTCGACGCCTTGTTTATGGCACAGGAAAAGGAATTGAACCACTCAGCACCGTTATTTCACGCACCAGGTTCCGATGGCTCGGCCACGTGTTACGCATGCCAGCCCACCGACTTCCGCGACGTGCGTTGTTTGCGCACCGGGGGTGTGGATGGAAGAAGAGGAGGGGTGGCCAAGCGATGACTTGGTCGAGAGGAATGAAGGCCCTCACTTCTGAGCTGGCCTCGGTTGGAGCGTCTCGGCTCCCTGGTTGGGGTCCGAAAGACGATGAACACGTTTGGTTGGACACACTTGCTGATATGGCTAGGAGCCGACCACAGTGGCGTTCCTGCTGTGAGTTTCTTTGTCCCACGCCATCCCTCTTAGCCTCCCTGTCCAACCACGATCTCATTATTTAACCGTATATAAGTTTGCATAGTAATTTTTTGATGCACAGTAGCCGGCTTGTCGCTTACCGGAACGATGTCCATCCGTTACCGGTAACTCAGCCGGCTTGCACAGGGTTGCTTTTTTTCTCCTTTTTTCTATGTATTGCGGCACAGTAGCTGAGGTGTCCCCCACCTCTAGCTAACATGTATGATGATGATGATGATGATGGTGTTCTCAGTAGAAGCAGACAATGAGAGTCACACCCGTGAATTTAATGGCAATTAGCAGCATACTTCTCGTAGATTTTCTGCACACAGGAACATGGCGTTGGGAAAAGAACTTAAGGCCGTAGCCTAAAGGATAACAAAACTGAATTGCAATCCGAAAGCACGGGATCGAGCCTACGTAGGGGACCGGGCGACCCTCGCAGTATCCTTAGCTCACGTGCTAGTGGTGATGTTTGCGTGGCAACGAAACGTCGGTAGTGCATACCGGCATACTGCTGACACATAGCTGTGTCATTAGAGATCGCTGGTATTAAAGTAAACGTGCGTACAAGTGTATGTATTTTGATCGAGCACGTTGCTTGAAGACGATCCATCTTAAATGTTTCCTTCACCGACTTCCCTTCTCTGGTGATCAGGAATAGCTCTAGATTTAGCAATCATTTAGTCAAAATGACATCACGATTTTTCTCTTAAGAGTGCGAAATATAGACTGCAACGATGTGCAGATTGTGCTAACGGTTCGTGATGTGTTTACTTGTCCTCATGATCAGCGCATATGATCAGCCAAGACCAACCAATAAGAAAAAACAGTTTGTTGGTCAGTTAGTAGAAAACTAACCGTACTCGCGCGGTGTTTACTTGTAGATAGGATTACCATCATTGGATAGGAGATTGTTGCATCAGGCACTAGGTAGCAAACGTGGGAAAGTCTTGCCATGAACCAAATCATGATCGATGACATGAAACGGTGACTGTGAATTCAGTTTAAAATGATCCGATCAATATGTAGCTTAAGTACCCGTCGAAATGAGGTGTTACTCCGTATATAACGTCGAAAATCACCAGTTTAACGACTCAGAGCCTGCATTAGTTTTGGTGTCCAACAAAGTGCATCATACCTCCGCAGGACAGCAGGGTCTAGAACATACCGGAGGCTTTTATGGTAAAGACAACTACGTGTAAAAAGGACTCACCAGAATGGCCCCGCCAAGCAGCCGTCCGCAGTGCAGACCAACCATCTTCATCCATCTGGTTTGGATCGGCGCCGGCCTTAAGCAGGCTATCAACACGGGCAAACTCTCCCCTGCGTGCGGCAAACACTATCGAATGAGATTCTGGGCTGCTCTTTATCCGTTTGTTGTTCAGGGCACACTCTGTGGGTTCAGGTTTCAAAATATCACTTGTCGTGTGGTTTGTGTAATAATAACAGAAGCTGGAGTCAAGTGCTTCAGGTTGAGTTGGTTGCAAAGACTTTAGCTGAGTAAGTTCTAATTCTTGTCTATCTTGAATGGGATATTGAGAGGAAGGGTGACCGCTTAATGCGATTGTGGTATCATGCGTCGATTCCTGATAAGCTTCATCTTCTGACTGAGTAGGCAAAGGGTCGTGAAGAGCTGTTCCGGTGAGATATCGTTCAATTAGTTGAGCACCACGGGATTTGTCGCACAAGAAAGTGTGTGTACAATGTTTCACATCTAATAACCACTCAGCGAAACTGGGATGAAAGAGGTGGATCTTTTTCCCTGATTGTGATTCCTTTTCGCCCTCGAAATCACCGAGATAATGCATAAAGAATTCTTCTCTTTCTTCTTCTGGACAGACAGCAATGAGCACCCTGCTCAAAACGCTAAGTCTATCGTGGAAAGTGAACTCGTCTAGGTCAGGGTAAGAAAAAGATAAAATTTTGTACAAACCCTCCTCACTGATCGATCTGTTTGAAGAAAGTATCACTTCTAATAGGGGGCGTACTTTGGCAAATGAGGCAGTAGACGATTTTCCCCCATGGGCTCCACACATCCGTTGACACAGCCATAAGTACAGCCCATTCAGCGTGCCTGGAACAGCGGCTAATTCGTCCGGTGCTATCCACTCATCAGCAATACCATCGAGTAATGTCTCTAGATACAGTAGGCAGGCACTGGATTTGATGCGAAGCAAGCCAAGTACATCGGAGTGCATGTGCACACGCAGTGCATGTTGCAGACTGCGTTCGTCAGACAAACGAGACAATATGTATTGCTGTACATCGTGAACAACACATGGCCGGTGCAAATCGTCAATACTGATGCGGCGGATCCCTGGGAACAAGCGGCTAATGGTGTTTCTGTGCTGACGCCGACAAGTCAACAACAAGCTCATCCAAGAGGGAAAATGCTCCAAATTATCCACCAACAGCTCTGAAATGGAATGATTATGTTTAATCGAAGTCAAACTTTGTTCCATCAGGGATGGTGAAGTGTTGGGATAATCTGAAGAGGTGGATATCGTTCGATCTTGAGAAGCACTGTCTCTGGGGTCGAAATGCCTGTGGAATTCTGATTCGTCCAGCCCATCTACGATCAGCAAGTACGGGAGGACGCGATCAGTTGTCCGGCACAATGTGTTTTCAGAGTCGCTGTATTTGTACACAGATGAGGTAGGGGTGAAAGAAGATATCTTGCGCAGTGCCGTCAAGACACCATGACGAAATGCCTCGCTTGTTGAGGTCAGAATTCGACCACATTGTAACCATGTTCCGCACTCAGCATTGTTGTCACCCAGTGCTTGGAGATATGCTTCTCTCAAAGGACAATTCTCCGACACCAACTGACGATGCACGGATTGAACGAAGTTGTGTGGATCAAGAGTGTCGGCAAGTTGAATGGAACAAAAATGGATACAGAGTAGATGTTCAGCCACTTGGACACATGACGAGCCAATTGCTTCTGTCTCCGTAGGAGGCTGACTACTATGTAGTCTTCTAAATGCATCCACGATTCGTCGGCAAATGGTGGTCTTGCCGGAACCTGGCCCGCCCACGATTACAATATTTCGAGCAATCATACCACCCGAAGGAGCAATTCTGCCAGAAACATCTGTGTCCGAAATGGCCGTAAGGGCTTCGGAGAAGGAGGCTTTATCTCCGTTGTCCAAAAAAGTTCCGAGCCTTTCGTCTCGCAGGGAGCATCTGAGGTATTTAAGAATCTTGGCAAACACCCATTCACGGCCGTAAAATTTGCGTCTTCGAGTAAACGAAAGCGCGTCTGTCGCATTCGTGGATGCTGGGTAGGACCGGTGACTTGTTGTGTCATTGTTCCATAGCGATCGGTGAAGTGAATCGACGGTCTGTTGATCGTCTTCAACGCTCGTGTAGTGGTTTGACTGCGTCTCCTTATAAGCTGATGGCCAATTTTCTTCGTCTCTGGACCGGATAGATTTTTGCGATTCGTTCGGTTCGTCAACTGATTCAAGCAGATCATAGTGCAAGACGGCCGGAAGAATGGGCGCAGAGTGAAATTTTTTCACAGACTGTTGACCGTTGTAATGCGAATTCGAGGAGATGCATGATCCCGATCCGCCATCTGCATGCTGTTCATGGTGGACAGGGCTGAGAAGTACACTGTGTGGGCGACTGAGATCAATACAAGGTTGGAAGGCACTCGTCATCACTACAAGATGTTAGGTCGAGTGTCCGAATCATCTTTAGTGACGGTCTATCCGGTGGAGCCCTGTACAAAGAATTCCATTTTCTGTAAGCAAGAAAAAAGGGAACCAGTAAGCCATAGAGGTGGGCAGTACTCTTGCTGTCGTGCAGCAAGTATAAAGGATAATATTAGACGCCTCAGAGGAAGAAGGCACTCTAAGATGAGATGGACTGCCATACTGAGCGGCTAGCAAAGATTAAGCATGTGGTCAGACGAAAAAAGTACATAGGTTAACTCAAATATAGGCATGGAAAAGGCAACAACAAGGGTTATTATCATGAAACGCCAAATGTTCTGCTCCATGAGTCACGACGTTTAACAAGCTGGACGTGCTGTATCGTGATGTCCGAAAAAAGTAAACGGTCAATTTATGTCCGGGATGATATCATAGTGATGTGTCGAACACCGGAAGAGCTACTTAACTGCCTGGATGATGTGCTTGGTTGTATACAGTCGTACGGTTTCTGGATCTGTGAGGATAAACACACATTTTTCACGCCGATAATCAAATACCTCGGTTTTATCCTCGAAAAGGATGGACGTCGACCAGATCCGTAAACGGTAGAAGACATTAGAAAAATGCCTCCACCAACAGATCTATAGTCCATGCGTTCCTTTTGTTGGCTCATCAGCCACTACAGCGCATTGTTAACTGAGATGCACCGCCTGCGTACCCCGTTGGACAAGCTACTAGCCAAAGGCCAACCTTGGAACTGGACATCAGAATGCCAGAATGCCTTCGAACAGGTCAAGACATTGCTGTCCTCAAACTTGCATTTGACTCATTTTGATCCCACCAAAGAGATTGTCCTAACCACAGATGTATCAAGTCATGGGATTGGTGCAGTAATTTCACACACGTACACCGATGGATCTCAATCGCCCATGCCGCCAGAACACTTACGAAGGCTGAGGGGAATTACAGCCAGATTGAGAAAGAAGCATTGGCCATAGTGTATGCAGTCAAGAAATACTACAAAATGCTATACGGCCGCTGCTTCAAGCTTCTGACAGATCATAAGTCCTTGCTAGCTACCTTTGGTTCGAAAAAGAGCAACCCGGCCTACACAGCCAACCGGCTACAACGTTGGGCTCTTACCTTAATGGGGATGATTTCGAGATCCACTACCAGTCGATAATTTCCATTGGCCAAGCAGATACACTGACACGCCTAATTGATGCTCATCAGCAAGAACATGAGGGCACAATCATTGCCTCGGTTGAGATCGAACCTGACGTCAACTATCTGGTAACTGATGCATTGCACCGTCTACCAGTTCCCGCAGAACCTGTACGAACCGAAACGGTTCGGGACCCAGTACTCAAGTAAGTTATACAGTTTCACAATCAAGTCGGCCACTTTCATGTCCATCTGCCGAGTTGCAACGGTACTTACAGAGGAGATGCTCGCTCTCTATTTAAACGACTACATACTATTCTCGGAAAGAGTGGTCATCCCAAAGGCACTTCAGGAGCGCCTTATTCGGCAGTTCCACGCTGGGCATTCTGGGATCAACCGGTTGAAAGCGCTTGCCCGCAGTTATGTGTACTGGCCCTTCATGGATAAAGAGCTAGAAGAAATAGCTAAACGCTGTCAAAAGTATGCCAATGTCTTGAAAGCGCCACAAAAATCAGTACTATATTCATGACCAAAAGCTACAAAGCCATGGTGCCCCATCCATGTCGACTTTGTAGGAGAGATCAACGGCAGAAGTTTGCACATTATGGTCGACTCATACAGTAAGTGGCCTGAAGTATTTCTCATGGATAGCACAACCATTAATGCCACTATACCAAAACTGCGCCAGACCTTTAGCAGATTCGGCTGTCCTGAGAAAATTGTAACTGAAAATGGCACATAATTCACTTCAGCAACGTTTACGGTTCTGCAAGCAATACGCTGTCCAGCACACTCGATCGCTGCCGTTTCACCCACAGTCGAATGACCAGGCAGAAAGGTTTGTCGATACGTTCAAGCGAGTTCTACACAAATCAAAAAGGGGAGGGAGGTATAGAGGAGGTGATTGACCGACGGAGTTTCTCCAGCAAAGGCTATAATGAACCGAAAGCTCCGCATGCCCTTCGACGTCATCCGACCGAGCTCGAAATCCTGTGTTGGTGAAAGAAACCGCAGAATGGAACAGGATTTTAACCGGCGGCATGGAGCAAAGAAGTGATCGTTTACGCTTGGACAGAAAGTGTTAGTACCTGGCTATCGGGAAGGCCATGCGAAATGGAAGCCAGGGACGGTCAAAAGCAAGCACGGAAACGTCATGTATGACGTGATGGTGGGCGCACAGATTTGGGCACAGCATGCAAATCAGTTACGGCCAGCATTGTGCCAATCAGAACAAGCAAGGCCTACTGACATCCTGTCCGATTTATTGGTGGAAAGCTTCAAATTGCCGAAGGGCGCAGTGGATGACTGCACACAGTCGAACAAAGAATCCAGAAGACGGACATCGGAACACAGTTGGTTGGCACTTCTACCAAGGAGATGGACCGACAAACAGAGAACACCGACCCGAAGACTGCAAGTTAATCCTCGGCTTTCATGGTATACCTCGGACGATATCTCAGGAGGGGAGGTGTCCGGAACAAAGTAAGCATTGCCTAGGCAACCCACTATCTTAGCGATTAATCGATTATTAAGGATTATCGCATCGAGTTCGAACGTTCTGGAAGGTTTTAGTTTCTGCAGGTGACTAACAACCATCTGACCCCTCGGCAAAAGCTATGGGGAACCAGTAACCTTAGTACCTGGCCTTCCAATTCTAGAAGTCGAAGGTCAGTAAGAGACCTGTAAATAGAGCTAAGGTCCGCGGTAGTCATACAGTGTTTGTTGATGGCGATTAACACGTTATTTTGTCAAGGTCATTGGCGATCTGCTTTTTCCTTCGTTGGACTAGAAGTTTTGTAGAGCAGTAAAGAGTCAATTTCGGAATCGCGTCTAGTGAAAAGACTATAACAATTTTATAACTGCATACACTATTCGAGTAATCTTTAGGGTCCCTATGGTTTTTCGAAGACTAGGCGCTCTGTGGAGACGACACATTTCTGGTCAACAGGGGCGTGTACAAAGCTGTATGACGTTCGATTTCCATTTGCGGCCAGTAGATGTTGAGGACAGCAACGGTCGGTCGCTGTTGATCACTTAAGTCGCGAAGTGTTGCTTACATGTGATGAATAAATAGATTATGGTTCAGTAAACCCATTGGTGCAGCACCGAATGGTCTGATGGTCTTAGGCAGGCCATCATGGTCAAGACATCCGCCAGGGGCTTGCCAACGGCTTCGTTGGAGACGATCTCCAGGTAAGCGCCCAGTGTGTGGTCACACGACTTAGAGCAATTAAACGGAAAAGTGGAGCAGTTGGTACATGACGTCTTTACGAATGTGTCCCACAAGCGCAGATAGTTGTATTCAGAAATACTCCACGACATGGATCAATCGCAGGATTAACAGCGACTCGCATGCTGGTATGCTGCCTCCAGTCGGTAGCTATTTAGTGGTAATTATCAAGCAAGTCCGTCAAAAGATGAAAATGTTTAGTTATCTGGTTGGATGTGTGATGTGAGATTTTCGCAGGAATGATTATAGATGGACTAATACAGTATCATGAGACCTGCAAACATTCACAAATGGAAAAAAATTGAAAAACGGTGCACAGATGCATTACGAGTGAAAAGCGCCGCAGCTCTGAACAATGATAGAACACTGTTGAGAAGAACAAGGATTGTTATAATGTGGACGCGAAAAAATTTTGCAAAGGCGTTTTTTGGCAAGTATTTTCATGCTGCCAGAAGTAACAAACTGCGAAATGTGCGCAGTGTCTTGACGCACTTTCCTAAACTAACAGAGAGGTAAGACGGTTTCGGTGACTTGGAATTAGTTTTTCTAACTCTTCTCTCAAAATTTTACCTGCATGGTTATTTGCACGCCCCAACTCCACCTTTCCAGACTTCCTGCCACTCTTGCTCCATCACAATGAGGCTGAACTTTACCATGGTGCGATAGTTTGCGTGCTTCAGAGATCCATTAAGCTATGCTGGGTGGTGCTTTTTGGCACCTTCAGAGACACTCATACCAGATTGGTCAATGGTTAGAGGCCAGACAAACTCAGCCCCTTGATCCTCCAGGTTTGGGGTTGGAGTGAGGGCGGCTCCTTATTCCATTAAACGGACTCCTTCACTGCCAAAACCCCGCTACCTTGCGGTCAGGTTTTTGAACCAAAGGCTTTGGTTGAGAACCCTAATCGTTCTCCTGTCTAGGCATGGGCAACCTTACAGTATTCTGCCCACGCAATGCTCTGAATCCTTCCTGTAAAAACTTCCTGATGCTCTGGCCACCACAGAGGATAATCAACAGTGCCCTATCTTCTGCTTCGAGCAGGGTGGATAGGGGTTTGGATGCTACTGCTCAAGCCTTCCCGTCTTCTTATTCCCTCTCTTACGCTTATTCACTCTTATCGTCCCGTGCCACCTACACTTTTATCCCACTAGTTTTTAAACCTCCAATTCTCGGCTCTCCCCAACCTTGCTTTGACAGGCGTTTACCTTCTAGTTTCAACTCACATGCGAATGCGGAGCGTCATTCCTGCCCTATCGACCAGCCCATGTCCAAGCGAGCGGTCAAGCCCAGTTCATCTGCTTCCATTTGGAGCCATCGATCCCTCATCAGGTTGGCATGACTCAATGTACGCACATTGCTAAAGATCGGTTAACAGGCAGCACTTACCCGAACATTAGACGCCCTCGCGATCGATATCTACTGCTTATCGGAGACCCGCCTACAAGACACAAGCCCTGTGCTCACTTTGCGATCACCTTCAGGTGACACTAGCAGCACTTTCTCATTGCGCCCATCTGGTAACGATGCAGCTTCGAGCACTGTCCAAGCCGGTGTTGGTATTGCTCTTAGTCCCTGGGCTTAAGCTGCCCTGGTTTCTTGAATCCCAATCCGTAGCCGGATGCGTGTGGTCCGATTGGCTGACTCCTTCAAAGCTACGAACGCGCGGGGACTAACAGGTGTCTATTCGGCATTGCCG